CCTGCTCTTTCCCCCCTTTTTTTCCCCGTGTGGCTCCCCCAAAACCCTTCCCGTTTGTTTGCTGGAAAAACTTCAAACCCTTCCTCTGGGTTTTCCGCCCCCTGGGGGGGGTCCGCCCCACCGAAAGGGGGGCCCCTCCCAAGCCCCTCACCCCGTTCCCCAAGAAAAGCCTTTCCTCCGGAAACCCCCCCCCCCGCGCCTCTTGCGGCCGTGCGCAGAGCGGCAGCCCGACGGCGGGGGTGGGAGCGGCACGGAGGAGAGGAGGGGCGGGTTTGAAACATTGGGTAGGTAGAATGAAGGAGTCAATTACTCATGCACTCATCCGGTCTTTGCATTAATGTATTCATTTGTTCATTCACTTGTTCAAATATTTACGGAGTGTTATCCAGGGCCCGATGCTCTTCCAGGGCTGGCGATCCGCAGCGAGCAAAGCAAAGTCCCTGCCCTCCTGTTGCTCACTCACACTCTAGGGAACAAAAGCAGACCTTGAACAGCAGGTCACTCCGCTCTTCCAACCCTTCAGTGCCTCCTCATCTTCTCCGCGTGAGTCTCTAGGGGCCTGCCAGGCCCACGTGACATGAGCCTGCCCCTCCACCGCATCTCTTAGGCTTCTCTCTAGCTTCCTCTGCTCCAGGCACGTTACCCTTCTTGATGCTCCTCAATGTGCCAGACATGCATTTGCATGAGTCTTTGCATTCGCTGCTCCGGCCAGGTACACCTTTCCCGCCTTGCTGGGCAAGGTGCTCCCTCACTTTCTTCAGGCCTCTGGCCCAAGGGCACCTTCTCAGACACAAGCCTGTGTTTCAGGTCCTGAGCTTCTTTGCCCTCTTGTCTCTTGCCACCTGCCTGGATGCGCTTCACTTTCTCGTCGTACCTTTGCCAGATCCCACTCATCCTTCTGTTCTCAGGCCTTTCTGTTACCGCATAGACAGTCAGGTGGGGGCCAGGGAGTCTCTCCCATTGGCCAAGATGGCGCAGGGGGAGATTCTTACACTAAGAGGCCCAAAGCCAAAAAGATGAATGGATAGAGAGAAAAAACACACAAAACCTCATGGGCTTAAACAGAAAGGGGAAATGGGCTTTGAGAAGGAGAACACCATTCTCCCAGGTCACCTGACTAAACCTCTTCCCTTTTGCACCAGCACGTCTCATGATTTTGACTTTTGTAGGGAGCAGGCAGCCAAACCTGTGTTTTCCGTTACATGTCTACATCCCCAGGCTCCCTCAGACAATCTGCTGTGCATTCCCATTAAGTGCCTGCCTTCCCCAAGGGCCACAATCCCGGTGGCAGCAGGGACCAGGGCTGTCTCCAGCATAATATGGCTTAAGAGCACCTGCCCTGGATTTACACAGCCTGGGGTTGAAACTCAGTTATTACTGCTTATATAACCTTGGGCAGACCTCTCTCTAAGCTTCAGTTTCCTATGTGTAAAGTGGAGCTCCCAACAGTACCTCCCTCAGAGGGACGCTCAAGGATTCAGTGGGACGTGCTAAGAGCAATGTTTGATACTTATTAAGCCCTCAGCAAACGTTAGCTGTCATTTTATCTCCCCGACCTGCAATCGCTGGCATTACATAGCCCTAATGACTCCTTGCTGAATTAATGAAGAAGTAAAGGAGTGAAACCTTTGTTAGGGGCAAAAATAGAATATTGGGGACTAGCTGTGGTTATGGGAAATATTAATTATGCTCTGTTAACCATGATTGCCTTGTTCTGGTTAAAGAAAGGGCATTCTAACTCGACTGGAAGTTGTATGCCCTGGGACCTGGGAGTCAACCTTGGACCTGGGAGTCAATTTTGGAATGTGGGCCTCCTGCATGCCCCCCACTCAGGATGGAGCCAGCAACCTGGGCATGTGCCCTTGATTGGAATAGAACCTGGGACCCTTCAGTCTGTAGGCCGATGCTCTATCCACTGAACCAAACTGGCCAGGGCAAAATCTCTTCTTCTTGAGAATGACTGCCCTCCATTATGCCGTCCTACTGCAGGTGCTGTTTCCTTGGGGATTGAACTAGTTGTCGCTCAGAGCAAGGAAGAGGCTGTGTCTATCATTGAGATATTGAGGTGGAAACTACTAGTTACAGCAAGCATGTCAAACTCACGGCCCGCGGGCCACATGTGGCCCACAACAAATATTTTTGAGGCCCAGCCAATATAACAGTATGTAAGAGACATTTTAATAAAAATTTCATAACTTAATTTTTACAACATCCTGTTATACATAATTATTAATACAAACTACAACGTTCGCTAATGACTGATTACTATAACCGTGTTGCATTCATTCCCCTTAAGCGCCTTACACACAGGCACACCATTTCTCTCCACTAATACTAGCAGTGAATATTTGAGCAGCCCATTGCCACATCATTAGTCCTGTAGTGACTTGTTTGGTGTGCGCAACAGAAAATATTTCGCTTTCGAAGAACAAGAAAAATAGGTTTATTTGCGTTACGCTTATTAGTTTGTGCAGTTATTTAGTGTCTGGTAAGTTAATGTTCAAGAAAAAAATATTAATTTCTATTAATATGTTCTATTATTTTATGTTAACGATGACTCATTTATTTCAGCCCTGCGTATTCAACATGTCTCTATCGAAATAAACTTATGTTTCTATGAAAATGGAAGCTTTTGTTTTATTTGTGGCCCACATCAACTTAAACCTTGTTTATTTGGCCCATGTTAGCCTCTGATTTTGACATGCTTGGGTTACAGTATCTACTGATATTTACCCTCTATTTCTCTAGTGAAATTTTTCAGCTGCGGATATTGCTGCCAGAATGAAGACTGTATTTCTCAGCCTTCCTTATAGCTAGGTGTGACCATGTGACACCTTCCAGCCAATTAGAGATGATGTGGGCAAATTCCTAGCTGTGCCCTTGAAGGGGAGTGCCATGCTCCCCTTCATTGCCTTTTCCCTGGTCTTGCAGCCTGGGAGGTGGACCTGGTAGCAACATGATCAAGGAATCCCTGGTCTCAATACCAGGAAGCGGCTGTTTTGCCTGGTCTGCTTATGCTCAGATATTACTAGAGAAACCAACTTTGTTCTGGTTTAAACCACTGTTATTTATGAGTTTCGTCAAACTTACCAACCCTATATTCCAACTATTGCAGCCACCCAAGCTAGCCACAATGAGGAAGAAAAAAGGCAGGAAAGTGGAGAGAAGGGTACAAATGGAGGCAGTGTGGCTGGGTGAGAAATGCTCAGGGGTATCTTCTGGGAAGTCTCTGAGTTAGAGTTGAAGGTTGTGAAAATGTGGAGCGGGGAAGGAAGGGGGAGAGCACTTCACAGGGACTGCAGCAGGAGCAAGAGCCTTGAAGGGAGACCTGGGCAAGGCTTGAAGGACAAGGAGGGCCTGGACAGGCTGAGAAGAGCGAGGAAAGCACATCTGAGGGGATCCCAGTGGCAAGTGGGCTATTTCACTAGGTGAACTGAAACCAGGTGTAGGGATGCTGGAGTTTCTCGTGAGTCCTGGGGGACATCTGGAGGCTGGGATTGGAGGCAGAGAAATGGCTGGGGAGTCCTGGCCCCTCTCCGACTCAGAGCACCACTCTGGAACTGACCCCTCATCCATGCCCCAGGCCCCATGCCCCAGGCTAAGATGAGCACAGCTTTGCTCGGCCTGGGGTTTTGACATTTTCTTGCCCACGGTGTCTCCAGCAGGCAGCCAGGGCCAGCAGGAGTGCAGCCAAGGTCACTGCCTTCATTCCCAGGACCACAGCTGTGAGCACAGACAGGAGGCCTGGGGGACACAAAGGAGAGTTCAAGAAGGACCCTAGGTGAGTCCTCAGCAGCCCATACATCAGTGCTCCCTGTGGGCGAGGTTTGGGCTCAGCTGCTCTCTAATTTTGGGGGCCACATTCTTTCTCTTACTGGAAGGGGAGATCCAAGACTTCCCTTCCCCTTGTCCCAGGCCCGGAAAGGGACAATATCCTACCGGTACCTTTAATCATCCTGATAGCATCCCTGACTTCTGACAATACAGTAAGTCCTCACTTAACATCATCCATAGGTTCTGTGACTTTAAGCAAAACATATAATATTTGTAATGAAACCAACTTTACCACAGGCTAATTGATATAAACAAGAGTGAAGTTCTCTTGCCGAAACCGGTTTGGCTCAGTGGATAGAGCGTCGGCCTGCGGACTGAAAGGTCCCAGGTTCGATCCCGGTCAAGGGCATGTACCTGGGTTGCGGGCACATCCCCAGTGGGAGATGTGCAGGAGGCAGCTGGTCGATGTTTCTCTCTCATCGATGTTTCTAACTCTCTATCTCTCTCCCTTCCTCTCTGTCAAAAATCAATAAAATATATTTAAAAAAAAAAAAAGAGTGAAGTTCTTATGGCATCTTATTCACGTTAAAGCGAAATGATGGAAACTACGTCATCCAAGGCCCTGCTATAATAGAAAACTGCTTTCATTTATTGGCTGATCGACTCCTCTGCCCCAGGTCCTGAGCTAAGCACTTCCTAATTGCCTAGTAGAATCCTCAAACTAATCTTGCAAGGTAGGATAGCAACGCCATTCGTATAGATGA